GCCAAATACATTTTCTTCAAAATAACTTGTTTTTCTAAGAAGTGGAACTGTACCCGTTTGTGTTTGAATCCATTTTTGTTGTGATGTTGTGCATTGTTAATAAAATGCATTGTCTTAAAGCTGCTCTAAATGTTCTTCAAATTGCACACACCAATCAAATGAAACAACTGGGAGTGTTCTTCAGGACAATACATTTCAATTCTTCAAAGATCATTCATCGGAAGATTATGTTGCAGGTGAAAGTTGCAGATGCTAAACAAAACGGATTTGTACATCTCAATGGTTAAAATTTGCGCGAAGCTGTTTGTTAACATTGTCAACGTGAGAGGAATTAATAGTATACATGGTGTTTTAAGAAGAAAGTTATAAAATTCTCAGAACATTGTTAACATGGCTTAAGTGGAAAACGTGGCATAATCCTGACTAAAACGGGCCGGTCTGTTGACCTCGTTATTTTCTTCGAAATTAAATTAATTTAATAAAAATAGCCAAATAATACGAAATTCTGACGAGGTTCGTAAACAATTAATTTCAAAGTCAAAAACATAATTAAAATCAGCTAAAGTAGCTAACAATGGTTGTGTGTGTATTCAATAGAGATGGCACATGCACGCAATGAAAAACGCTTTGAATGCTAATGCGTATATTGTTCGAAAAAAAACTATGTAATTACTGTAGGAGCCTACAACACCATATGTTGCATTGCAAATGTGCAATGTGACTGCACTGCAATGGTATTTCTTATGTGGTGTAATTTGCCGATTTAAATTGGAAAAATGAAGAAAATCAAGGTCTGATGATCAATTGATTATCTAATCACTTAGCGATCAATTGAAGCGCTTATAACGAGTGAATTCAATCTTCAAAAACATACTAAAGGAAATTTCCAGTTAGAGGCTGTTAAATTTTCTGCATTCAGATCATCCCTTCAATATATACCTGGATGCTTTGTTTATATGAGCAAAAGGTCAAAACCATTATCAAGTCTGCCACTTTGCATATTTCCTTTATATAAAAGACTGAAATCAAATGTAAATGATAATCAGTATCGATGATGAAACTAATACCGAATTCAAATAGAAATTATTTAGATAAAGTAGGCAGGTACTTTGTGTCGATTCGCATCGAATTATAAGACTATGTCAAGGAAAATGATATACCTAAAGACCAAAGTGTTCGGCTAGCATATAATACCATTAAAACAATGTCACAATTTTTATTGTTTCGTTGCCAAATGGGTGGGTCCGTAAATAAGTGACGAAATAATATGCGAATGTGCTATTGGTAAAATAAGTAATTATATAGCCACATGTAAAAAATTGAGGCAACAACAATATTCATAATAATAGAGTGCGATTCGAACAAAGTGCTTCGTATGGGAACAGCACAATTGCACGCAAATTATGGCTCAGACAGCGACAGAAAAATACAAACTATAATTTCAGATAACACTTTTAGAACAAAAAATTATTGACATACTCTTGAAATAGTTCTTGTTCAATAGAAGTAGCCCTATCATCCAAAACAGGATGATTCAAAGGGAAATCAAAATATTTTAGGAATATTACGCATCTTCTGTGCTCATTGATTTTATTTATTTTTAGCTATAGTTTACTTAAAATGTTCCCTTTTTTACAGCCTACACTCACATAGCGTTTATACCCCAGATAACGTCGATGAAGTGTTACACTTTCCATATCAACCAACCGTCTTTCTACACCCGTTTCTGAACATCCTAAATTTATCGTAAATTCCAACTATAAGCAAAAATAAAGTCTGAAGCAGAAAACAGTAGTTTACTATTAAAGATTCAATCAATATAATACAGGGTGTCCCACCGGGAACCGCCGCGATTGATATCTGCCAAACTGTAATTAGGATAAATTTGAAAATTTGACAGTGTGCCAAGGTCATTGGGGGCAAGCAGTCCAAAATATTTGCAAAACGGCCACACTTTCGGTTATACCAGAAGTAGGTATCAACTTGCTTATTTTAAATGGAACACCCTGTATATTATTACATTTTGGAATTCTACCCCAAATTCTAAATATATTTCATATACAATATCCCGTAGCCGAACCGTTCTTCATATATTTGAAATTCTATGTAAAAAWYTACAGTTGCAGCCACTCGAATAATTATTAATTTTTCCTATAAGGGAATTTGTCATACTTAATTTGAGTCGCATTTATTGTTGAAAAKGACTTACTTTAATGGAATTTCGAAAACATTTTGAAAACTATTAATACAAGGTGTTAAAAAAATAAGTTTTAAAATACGGTTGAGAAAACCGCCCAAAATCAATTTTTTCAAATGGAAGCCACCATTTTTTATTGATATTCAGTATTAAAAATAAGCGTAAGTTTGTGTAACGATGTCTATTCCAAAAGTGTTTAGTATTCGAAATATTGCCAATTCAATGTTTTCATATGACTAGTTTGCAGCATTTTCTTTTAAATCCTGTCACTGTTAGTTGCCATAACGAAAGTGGCCATTTTTAATGCAATTAAATGACAGAGGAATGCTGACAGCTGTCAGTCACCTTTTGAAAATAATTAATAATCATGCCAGGCGCTTCAATTATACAAACTAGGATTATTTAAGCTTATTTATTATTTATGAAGAATGTGATAAAGCTGTATCAAGAGCATGTGACACATTTGCCGATATCCATGTGTGCTGTGCTGTTAAACAAATTAAAGAAAATTCCAAGAATTTTGAATACGTCTTAATATCAGTGATTGACATAATAATAATTTCTAATACGTAAACGGTTCTTGATATAACTTGATCACAATCCCCATAAATAATAAATAAGTTTAAATAATCTTTGTATAATTTAAGCGCCTGGGATGATAATTAATTATTTAATGATTTAAGGTAACTGACAGCTGTCAGTATTCCTTTGGCATTTTAGTGTATTAAAAATGGCCACTTTCATCATGGCAACTAAGAGTGTACACGATTTAAAAGAAGATGCTGCAAAATAGTCATATRAAAACATTAAATTGGCATTATTTCGAAAACTAAACACTTTTAGAATAGACATCGTTACACAAACTTACGTTTATTTTTAATAGTGAATATGACAGAATTATCAAAAATGGGGGTTTCCATTTGAAAAAATTAATTTTKGGAKGTTTTCTCAACTCTRTTGTKWAACTTRTTTTTTTAACACTTTGTATGAATAGTTTTCAAAATGTTTTCGAAATTCCATTGAAGCAAGTCCTTTTCAACAATAAATTCGACTCAAATTAAGTATGATAAATTCCCTTATAGGAAAAATTAATAATTATTCGAGTGGCTGCAACTGTCATTTTTTACATAAAATTTCAAATATCTCAAAAAGGGTTAGACAGAGTACAGGATATTATGCATGAAATACCTTTAGAATTTGAAGTAGAATTCAAAAAAAATAATAATATATAGGGTGTTGCATTTAAAATAAGTAAGTTGATACGCACTTCCGGTATAACCGAAAGTGTGGCCATTTTGAAAATATTTTAGGCGGCGTGCCCCCAATAACCTCGGCACACTGYCCAATTTTCAATATTCTGGTAATTACAGTTTGCCAGATATCGATCGCGGCGGTTCCCGGTGGGACACCCTGTATAAACATCAAAATTYTGTTGATTTATATAGGCGTTGGCGTACCGAAAATACGTAATTGTCCCTATCAGATCACATATTGCTCAGATTTCCATCGACACTGAAGAAATATTTGACAACCTTCACCCAAATTGTAGGCTTATAATATGTTATTATCTTGTCTGTCTGCTGCTGTCTGCAATTTATCTATTTATTTAATATTTCCTATACAATGTAAGTTGCAAGGTATTCGCCACATATGTAGGGCATATTGGCAAGCGTGTTTTTGTATTTACTGACCACTGGTTGTACGCCTTTAGAAAATATTTGTATAGATACATTAATTTTATGGTATTTAAACGTTTCCTTGTCTCATTTTCGCTTTCTCGTTTTGCTTGGAAATTTGCTTTTGATTTAAATATAAGGTTTGGCACAACAAGTTTTTTTCCCTTTTTCTACGAATATGATTCGGTTTTTGCCATAAAATAGTATGAAGAAGTTATAATTATAAAGTTCCATCCTCAATGGACAATGTAGCTTTCCTTTCACTTGATATTCAGTTTAATTTCGCTCTAAAATTCGGCTCGATTTAGAGGACAAAAACTAGAAATGTGCCCCATTATTATATGAAAACTCTCCAAAATTCTTAAAATATCTTCCACAAAAATTGGAAAAAAATGGGTAAAAGGGAGCTTGCCTTAAGGGCGGATCCAGCTTTCAAGTCATCAATTACAATAATAAATAGAATTAAAAAAGTATTGTATTATTATATATCGTAGTAATTTGAATCAATAAAAACATCAATATTCTTCTATTGTTTTCTCACAAATCGAGTTATGCCGACGTCCTCCACTTCAATCGGTATGGTTTTGTAAACGTGGAGAAGTGCCAGTCCAGTTGAGCGCTTTTCTGATATTGAAGCTCCAAAACTTTTGCACACCACATGTCCAGCAATTTCATAAAAATTGACTTTATGACTCAGTTTCAGAAAAATTGCAGCAAAACGATGAATCGAAAGCTGGTGTGAAAAGCAAGTTTTCGCCGGAGCATTGAATGTGGAATTAACTATCGCTCTACACATGTAAAACGTATAACGTAACGACGTACAAATACGTCGTCAGTCTTTTGTTCATAGGCGACATATACAGAGTGATTTTGTGCCAATAAGGCAAGTGTGCTAGATTATCCGTTTTCTGCTAACGGAAAGATTAGGGGGTAGGAAATAGAGGATGGGGCGCCAGCTTGGAGAAAGCTGATACCAATAAATTCTAGTCTATAAATCCTTAAAATTTAGTTTAGTTTTTCGAGAAGCAACTTAATTTGGTGGCACTTTTTATTTCCGCTGTTTTTCAAATAATTAACCTTTTGACTAAGTTTCTGTATTAATAAAGAATGTTTTTCTTTCTTTCCAGGTGGCACGATGCAGTTTTCGGTAAGTTTTGCATTGCTTTGCCCCTGGTTGTTATGCAGATGTAGAATTTTTAGTCCCATATTATTGACTTGTACTTAGACTTAAGTACTTGTACTTACAGATTTATTGGACAAGGAACGACGAGGGACTTTCTGGATTCTGGATGGAGTTTTAAAATTTTTCGAATTTTTTTTCTGTACACATAATTTAAACTGAGATATTAGATGTTAATAAATGAATGAGGTTCTCTATAGAAGACTATTAATTTTTTTAAAATTGCGCAGAATCTAGACCGAAATGCATAAAGGTAGCTGGAACTTACGTATTGTTTTGTGATGGTTTAGCTTATAGAGCCCTAAAAGGCTGCAAGTAATCCTGGACCACTTAATGAGATAGTCTGTTCTTGCCAAATTACCCACTAGAAACGAATTATTTTTTTTAAACGTTTCATGTTCCTCTTCAGGCTGTAAATGGTCCATGTCAAGATTTTAAACAGACTAACAGCCGTTAAATGAGTTAAAAAAAATCGGAGTTTTAAGTAAATTTCGGACAGCATTCCATTTTGTAGATGTAGATTGCAACCAAGTACAATTGTAGTTTTTTCTTTGATAGCATTTGCAGATTTTATGAGTCAAATTTTAGATAACGGCTTTTCCGAATTATAGCGCACTTATTTTCGTATGTTTTAGATTTTTTTTCAGATAAAACTTGAAACACTTTTTTAAGTGCTTCTATTCACCAACAACAGCGTTTTCTTATTGACTAAGCTAAATAAAAGCTTCCGCTTTATGCTGACACAGCAATGGAAAAGTAAACGCAAGAAATACCTACTGTTAAATACGAATTTTGAACTTAAATCTACCGATCATTATCAACAGCGTTAAATATATAAATATTTGAACTATAGTTCGAATATTGTCACCACGCGAAGAGCATGACTCAGTGATGAAAGAAAAGCACTTTAGAGCTAACGGCCCATTCTAACACTCAAAATTATTTGATTGAATGTACATATCAAGGACCCGGACCGAAACGAAATAACTGTTTCCTTCCGGTTCCGGTTCCGTTTTTTTTTTCAGTTCATTTCGGTTCCAAAATCTATATATAACAACGAACAATTATGTACCCTCCCCAAAAAATATCTTATATCAAGAAACATTACATAACTTAATTACCTACCTTTATTGACATCTTACACAATTTGCAAACAGATTTATCTTCTATTTTAATGAAGTCAAACTGCCCGTGAGCAACATTTGTTATTTTTCGACCCAAAATTGTAGGCATCAGTAAGCGCATAGATTGTAACCCTGTAGAGTTATTTTTGTTTTGTAAATGTTGAGGATGCCAACTTTTTCATTTCCAAATTGCACAGGCGCACTGTGATGTGAAGAGGCAATTAAGCGGTAGGATATTAGGTACTCAAGTTATTTATTCAAATACTATGAAGACCACAGGCAAAAAAGGTGCTTTGCTTTTTCATATCATTGAGATCAACGGTTAATAACGGCAGTTTTCACGCTTAATATGTCTTTTCCTATAAAAAATTGTTATTTTGTGATTTATACAAGATTTTGTCATTTAGGACCAGCCGCAAAGAATAGCGTTTATATTTTCTCCCTTCGACGGCCTCGCGGCACCGACTGTTAAAACGATTCCAGGAACTAATTAAAAGAAGTGCCGACCCTTTGTCGGCACATTAATAGTACACCGCCGATCACCAGAACACAGAAACGTAATTTTATATTCATTTGCAGGAGGATAAATGATTATTTTGATTTGCTTCTAAAATGTACAGTAATTTCTTTCAAACGTTACAAGCAGAACTAAAAAAACACCGAAAAAATCGAAATAAAATATTTCGGTTCCGGTTCAGCACCTAACAGTGTGTTAATATTGTAACGGAAATGGCTTGGGGTACTCACGTTTGAAATGGGGGATCGAAATTCATGGTATTTCAGTAAATGGGAGCCCCATTTGGGCCCCATTTACTGTCAAATATAACACTGACAAGCGGGAAGTATCGCACCTGTTCTGGAGATTTCGAGAACCATCTGGGTTACCTGGAGGAAATTATATAAGCGACGACGAGAACCACACAGGAGAGTGAAGTGACAGCAGCGTCCGAGTGCAGAAGGGGTTAAACTCCGGGAGTCGGAAAAGCGAGTTCTCCGCCTGTTATTGTTATTGTTTGTGAAGTTGACGGTTATTTTGAAGTTAGTTTGTTCCTGTTCCGTAGTTAAGGTGATACCGAGTTGAATAAAAGTTGGAAGCAGTAGAAAGAGTTTGATACTCGGACATCCACGGTACAATATCAAATATGGGTTCCGTTACGGTTTCGGCCCAAAAAAAAAACGGTTCCGTTCCGGTTTTGGGTCTATATCGGTTCCGGTCCGGGTCCCTGGTAGAGATGATCCTCTTTTGAGACTTTTTCAACTAAAATTACATTCTCAAACATTTTTTTTCAAAAGGTTGCACACTCTGTGATCGCACTAGTTTTACTCCTTTGCAGTTGCCGCTATCCAATTTGAGGCTGGAATACCCAAGGCATTTTTGTTTTTGAAATATTGCCAACAATTGCGCAGTTATGGACAAATAAGTCTGCAAATTAGAGGTAAGCTGAACGGTTATTTTTCTGTAACGGGTTCCAACGTTACAGTATCGCCTTGGTTTTAGGTTCCAAAATGCGGTTCCAAAAGGAACATGTTACTTTTTAAATTTTTTCTTAAAAATGCAGAATGATGATGATATTAGAAATAGTGATGATATATAATTATTTCCTGTAGAGTAACTACTTAAAATTACTCCTTAGAGTTTTTACTGTTCCTGGAGAACTGAACAGAAATTCTTATAAACTAAAAGTCATACACAATCATCAAGGCAACGCGCAACTACACCCAACATATTTTCCCTTAACAAATAGTTACTGAAACTGCTGCAACTGCATAAAGCTCTCGACGATGCCGCATCGGTTCTGTGCTGACGCGAACCACTTTTTCAGGTTTGTGAGACGGTTCCAAAAACAACCTTATATTCGGCAAATGGCTGCAGCTGGTACGAAGTGCGCACAACTGTTTAGGTTTTATGAAACGGTTCCAAAAACACCGGTTGAATCGGCTAGCTGTAACTACGGTTTCAGGTTACACGTTTAGAACACTGTTAGCGGTTACGTTAAATACCGACCATCCCTACTGCAAATTATGTGGGTGGCAGTCTTTCTAATTCCAAATTCCATTTTCTCCGAAACCATATACRAAAACGATKTTAATGAAAATCTTGTGGTTAAAAAATCTTGGAGCGCTGCCAAACTTGTACCAAAAGAGCGTGTTTCYAAGAACAACCAGCGCTTYAAASTTWAATTTTTTCAGAAAATGAAATTTGGTCCTGAAACAKCTTTCTACGCCAAGTCTATGTGCTTTTTAAGAATTTTYGAATTTCKAAAAATTGTTGATAACTGACTGAGTTACAGGYTAAAGAGTAGAAGTATGGACCAGTTCAAAGTCTTACGCTTGTCAGTATTTAGAGTCCATTTYCTTCAAAACTGCTGCAAATASAAATTTTCTTACAGACAGTGAATGTGTCGAGRAAACGCTTTGCAAACARTTTGATGTTTTATTTTGAGAATGAATTAATYGAGGTAAAAAAATTATTTTATTTTTATTTTGTMAAAGTATTTTGTTGAGAAAATYGTATTTTCGATCTTCAAATCATCATAACTTTCAAGTTTTTTTAACCGATTGCAATTTTTCGAGATTTTTTTATTATAGCAGTTTTAYAGAAAATCGTACATGTTWCAACAAATTTCAGYATTTTCAAATTGACCCAATATTAACAGAGTTATGCAGAAAATTTCTACATAGTAAATGCTGTTTTCCCAAAAAAATTGCSACCTTAAATCCAYATAGAAAACTCGCTTTGGAACGAAWTTAATTSAATGATCCCAATCGGGCCCGTTTTAAGAGAGTTAGTTATTTATTCATACTGAAGGGTCTGACGCGCCATATAATTATAATAACAGCTAAATATTCATAATATGCATTAGTGGTGTTTGCCATCACACAGAGTATTTATTTTCGTAAATTGTCTATGAAATTAGAAAAATTATCATTAGTCGACATGAACCCCGCATAAAGGGGGAGTCATGAGCGTCATGACCCCCTCTAGATTCGCCCTTCGCTCGCCTCCACTACAGTCCGAGTTTAGATTTACTGAAAATGTACAAATATTTAACGAAAATCCTTAAAACAGTAAAAGAGTAAATAAGTATTTTTTCCTGAAGAAAATACGGGGGTAATTCTCGTCTCAAACTGCACAAAAAAGAAATGCTTGATCAGGCTTTGATGCACGGTTTTAGCTCCAAACATACATTTACATATAAAAAAACACCACACGCAACGAAATATGAGTTTTTCTTAATTAAACAATAATTAATATTCCAAATTATACAAAGTGGATCGTAATAAAACGGCATTATTACGCCCATAAATGACTCCGTTACTGTGTATAAACGATTGCCCAAAAATTATCCTTAGCGCATATAGAGGGTGTTGTAATTCTATTTTTAAGCCGTAAAACCCAAAGTTTTTGTAGAATTTTATAGAATTGAAGAAATCGGCGAAGATTTTTCAATTTAAAAAATATGTAAAAAATTTGAACCAGCTGTTTGTAGTCCAGCGCTTACAAACTTTTTGAGAGAAAATGTAAAGTTACAGTATTTTTTTAATTTTACAATAAGTTTTCACTTTTCACACTTGAATTTGTCGCATTCGAACCAGAGTTTGTTTAAGCCGAACCTTGAAGTCCAAACCATTTTGTGCAAGTCCAACAAGAAATCTATTTCACATTTTTTTAACAAATGCAGTATTTGTTAAGAAAATGTGCACCCTGATATTCGTAAGAAATATTTTTTTCAGGACAATATTTCTTTTACCGCGCATATTTTTGTTCAGGGTTATCGGTTGAACTTTGTCCACCCCGTTTTTGCATCTAATTTGAAATTTAGAGAAAAATGTTAAATAGAAAAGTTGTAGATACTAACGTGTAGTTTATTTTAAAATAGTACCAATTCATACAGGGTGTCTCAAATTCACGTGGCAGATAAAACTTACCTTTTGTTAAATGGTAAGAATGGCACACTTTTTATTGCATTTTCGAGCTATTCGTAAAACTCTAAGCCTATTCGACAAAAATGTTCTGTATTGATTTTCAACTGCTGGTTTGACGTCACAAAATTGGGGAAAATTTCAAACATTTTTCCCCAAAATTCTGCATGTTTTTAGAAGTCAACCGCTCGCTTATTATCGATCGTAGCGAAAAAGTTTATACAAACTTTCTTATGGCGCTTAAGACGCCTGATCGACCAGACTGATTAGATTGAGTTCAGCTCTTTTGCTTACCGAGATATTTGGAGATTTTTGGAAACCATGTTTTCGCGATTTGCTCGAAAACTGTGAAAGATGGAAAATTGGGAAAATACCGTTCGACAGGGCTGGATGAGCCCGAGATTTTACTCAGAATAACTTTTGTCGACAGGAGCTTCCTTTTCGAGAAAAAAAATAAAACGTAAAATTTCTAAAAAATTGCAAATCCCACCATAATTTTAGGCGAACATTTTTTTTTTCGAACTATTCCTTGACAGGTGGTTAGAATGATGAATCAACTACATTCCAAATCGATTCGGTAGTGGCAGAAAAAAAACTCCATTTAACCAGGAAATCGGAAAATTGTGCTGGCGTTCAAGTGAAATGCTTCCCAAAAATCAGAAAATGATGATGAATGAAGTCTAGTTCGACCGAAACATAGCTAATAGATGTGGTTAATGATTTTTGAATGCCATAATGAGAAACTATAAGTTTCCGATTTTGGCCAGACGAATGAATCGAAAAAATGTTCGAGAATTTTCGACTTGTCCAAGTTTTTATATATGTCCAAATATTTCGAAAAATTCAATGAGCTGGAGATGCCGTAGGTCGATAGAGGGATAACGAAGCTTTAGATCCAATGAAATCGATTGCAACAGAACTAAATGTTGACCTTGTAAATTCGGGTTAAAGTTGGAAATGGATTTTCAGTATCAAAAATTAAGGTTAAGTTTGGCTATGGATATTGTGAAATATATAAAAAAGATATAAAAAATACAAATTAGCTCGAATATGTAATAAAAAGTCCGACATTCCATTTAAAAACGGTAAGTTTGGTCTTTCACTGGAATTTGAGACACTCTGTATCAATGGCTACCATCCTAAAGTAAACTAGACGTTAATATCCACAACTTTTGTATTTAACATTTTTCTCTAAATTTCAAATTAGATGCAAAAACGGTGTGGCCAAAGTTCAATCCATAACCCTGTACATTGTAAGTTTGTAAGAAATTATTAGAAAAATAATGCGCGTGGATCACCCTCTAAATTTATTCGCGCTTTTTTAATCAGCAATTAAACTTGAACAAATTTATTGTATTTACTTATGTAAAAACCCTTAGAAATTTAAATTTTTAGATATTTTAGAGCAAAAATTGCCGAAAATTAAATGTGAATTGAGTAGTTGCAGATTATCAGGCAATGCACAATAATTTTTATTTTTGTTTTTGCTCCCTAATTCCTGAAAATTACATTTCTCGATTATAAATTACAATTTCGCTGAAATGACACACTTTGGTACGAGTATTATAACGGAAAAATCACGCATATTTTGCATGGATTCACTCACCTGAAACTAAAAAATATCCGAAAATTACAATCACCAATTGCACTAAATTTGTCCTGAAAAGCATTGTTGCCGAATTTGCAAAACGACCAATTTGAAGACGAAAAGAAAAAAAGGTAAACAATATGAGCACGTAGCTTGTAAAAGCACGTGCAAAACTTGAATCCGACTTTCACGCAGAAAAAAAAACTCGCCGCGGCGTATAAGTTGAAAGTACCTCAGCTAGACGGTCAGCAGTTGGTGAACATCTTGTATCATACTGGCGGAGCGCTGAAAACAGAAGCATAATTATTTCTTCAGAGAAGGGAGAGTAGTGAGTGATTCGTGATTCTTCAGTTTTTATATTACGGATATAGTTACGTACCTACGTCTATTATAGTGGAATTGAAGTTTTGTTCATTCATGATATGGTCAAGAAACTACTTACATTTTTTAAATCAGCAACATTTCTAAGTTTATTCCACAAAAAAATACTCAAATGCTTGTTTTTAACCAAAATGACTATGTAACTAAAGGAAGAACTACAATTTAAGTAGTAATTTGACACTTATTTTGTTGTACATTGATTAGTGTCACATTGGTGTTTACATCTGATTGTGATTTGTTGCTGTTGTTTTGTTCTAATCAACTTTTGCAAACTTTTAAAAAAATAGAAAAAGATCGAAAAGTTTGTAAGTAGTGTTTTATGTTATAAATGTCATCAACTCCAATAAATAAACAAGTCTGACAAGTCTCAACTGTCACTCGGTAGTTGTCATCGGTAGTTGAACTCGCGAATTGGACTCGTCAATAAGATCCTTTTATGGCCGGTTTCTGAAACGACCTTTATAGTTCCAATAGCCTAAACGGCTCTATAAGTCGGAAAAATGGGTTTCTGAAACGTTCGATAAGAGCTAGCGGTTCGATATATTGAAGAACCGATAAAAGTGCGCTCTCGGACCTTTATCGGTTCTATAAGTTGTAGGAGCGGCGCACGCAAGCGTATTTGCTATTAATGTCAAAAGTCATCGCAAATCAGCTGTGAGCAGAGAACACGTTTTGGGAAAACAATAATAACATTTTTGCGGGCGAAATTGGTGTGTGAAAGTGAAGAAAAGTTTTGGAAAATAATGGAAGATTCCACTTCGGACTCACTTGACGAGGAAGTTTCTGATGTTCTCAGTAGTGAAATAACTCGCCATTTTCGAGCACGGAATAATCATTTTGTGAAATTCAGCAAAGATGAATTCCGAGAGCGTTTTCGTTTAACCAAAAACGTTGCTCACTACTTAGAAGAGCTACTTAAGGATCAAATTCAGCCAGTGACACCGAGAAACCATAGTTTATCTGTTTCAGAACAATTGCTAATTACTCTAAGGTTTTATGCATTTCATAACAATCATTGTACGTACTTTCCTGACTGTGTTTCAATTCCAAAATTAAAATCAAGTCCTGGGTTCTTCAGTCATTTATTTATTGTTCATTTATCAATTTAA